GCAGAAGAGATTGTAAACTTTCCACTATTTCATTTTGGGAAGTGGGATTAAGGAGCCCTCACAATGGAGACCACGGGCGTATTGGGGTATAGTATTATGTTAGAATTACTTGAGATATGTTTGTTTTACACAGCAGGTTGCCTTTGGAGATGTTGCACAGCTCAGAGACCTTGGTTCCAGTCAAGCCAGTGCATTAAACAGCATGTTTTTGTGTCCCTGAACACAGGACAGATTTTCCATGTTGTTGAATCCTTAAAATGGTTTGATGGCATCAGTTTGAATGAGGCCATTTAGCTCTCTTCTATCTCTTTCCTGGGTAAGTTTTACCATGGGCCAGGAGCTTGTTTGGCCACGTTGCCATGGTTCAGGGATCATTCCCAGCAGACCGCTTGCCAGGATGTGTTGGAAGGCGAGAGGTTTTACTGGTACAGGTGCAGGCTGTTCCAGGGCACTTGGCCTCAGTCCCAGGCAGTTCCCTTGGGACTGTTTGTTTATGGCTGCAGCTGTCAGTGCTGTAGCTGTGATAACGTGGTGCTGTGCCACAGCTGATCAGTGTGCCCAGGGAACCCAAGCACCGTGTGATGCTGGAGTAGCTGCATTGCTTGTGTGAGCCAGAGCTGTGTTCTCAGCCAAAGAAACAGGCTCACAGTGTTTTTATGTACCACATTCAGCAACAGCAGTTTGCACTGGCACCTTCTTGCTGGTATTCAGTGGAATGTTTCCCACTCTTGGATATTTTAAGGCTCTGTATCAACAATCAGCAGTGAGAGGTGCACACAAATCTCAGAGGATTGTTCAATATCTTTTGTGCTTCTGATGCTCTTACCATGTCTAATAATGCACAAGTCTGATCCTTCGATGGTGGTAAGGGAACTGAGGTCCCACCTTTATCACAGGTTTCTACATTCCTATTTTATTGTCTCTTGACATCTTCACAGCTTTTCTTTGCTGGTGGGCTGACCATTGAGCACATATTCTCTCCAGACTGATGTGTCTTTTGGCTGAGCTATAAGCCTTCCTTTTCAGTACCTCACACTGTTTGATTACCCTGTTTGATAATTTTCTTCTCATTATGTGCCTGTAAAGGGAACAGTCCTCTATTTTTTCACTTTCTGTCGGATGTTTTTTTCCTTTTATCTGTAATCTAACATTTATCAGAGGAAATAGCTTGCTGCAACAACATATAATAGGCCTGGAACCTCTGAGCCCCAGTGTGGTCCCAGGTGTCACCATTAAAGCACATGAGTGCTTTAGTCTTGAGTTATCCTATTGGGAAAATCCTCTTCCAAGGGAAGTGATAGAAGCCAATACTTAGGATGTTTAAAACAGGAATGAAAAGAACAGAAAGGAACACAGCTACTTGATGTCCACAGAACCTGTATGCCCCAGGAGATGTTTATTTCAGTACTTGATTTTTCTAATGCATGATTTTGTCAAAGGGAATGTTGTGTGTGCCAGTCTAAAAAGCTTGAAAGACTTACACTAACTTCAGAATTGAGTGTCCTAAATAGCTGACTGTAAAGAAAAAAAAATTAATTTATAAGCCAATGCATGCCATGAATCTGAATGATTTCTTCTAATATTTTGAGAACAGTAATGATTTTGCTAGCACTGGTTTTTTTTGTTCTCAAGGACTAGATTCAAGACAAAGAAAGGAGCTGGAGGGAGAACAAAAGGTGATTCAGGTTGTCCCTGAGAGCACACAGAGAGACTCCTATTCATCCCATTGGATTTTAGGCACGTGGCCTAGAGTTCTACATTAGAAATGTGGTTTCTGTAGGCTTCTTGTCTAGACAGCAGCTAGGGAGATACACTTCAGACCTCTCTTTTTATTGACAATAGAAGGAGCTTAGGGAGGGTACAGCCCTCATTTCGTTATCTGAGTTTGACATAATGAGCCTAATTACCCTTTTTTTAATTTGTGGATGTCAGTTATGCAACAAACATTAATTAAATATTAGCTTGAACCATATTAGAACTACAAAAAAACCCTCCTGCAATACCATTCTAAAGCCTATTAAAATGTGTCTGTGCAATTAGTCTCTGAGCACACTGTCGTCTCCTCCTTTCTCACCCCCTATCTTTTTATTTTTCCTCTTGTTTCATTTTTCAAGTCTTGCATGTGCATAGACTGCTACTCCCTCAGTTCAGGACTCTTAATTCTCCATGTCCTATAATGTGCCTGCAGCACTTTGGGATAATAAAATAGCAGAGTGAAGTAATAGAATGCTGTTCCAGCTTGCAGTAAGCAAAAGCAAAGTGTTGTCTCGCTTCCTTCCAAAATACAAGCAGTGCAGATTCATTTTGAATTAGCTGCCAACCGCTGAACATAGATACATTGAGGGACAGCCCCGGGCTGTTTTCAAACAGAAGTGCAGACTAAATGAATCCTTGCTTGGGATGCTTGGAGGCAGCTGGATGTATATTGCTTCCCTCTAGGCTTATGAAGAGCGACATTTTACACAGTTTTCACACCCTTTCAAATATACATGGTGCCAAGTGACACTGATGTGACTTGCTGCTGAAAATACTGTGTGGTTTTATGGACTGCACAGGACTTTAGCCAGCCCCTGGCATCACTTCCCTTGGTCCCTGCCCAGAGTCAGAGCAGCGGTGTGTACATTGCCCAGCAGTAGGAACAAGAAGGTCTCCTCTGCTCATGTTGATGTCCAGGAGTTAGAAAGATAAATTAGAATTTATCCATCCGTAGAATTGCCTTGGTAAGTGTTAGGGCTTGATGTGCTTCAGTGGTCTCAGATCTAGGGGGAGGTCAGCAAAGCTTGGGGGAGGGATGTGCTGCTGATAGTGGGCACAAAGAACTCAGAATTCACAGGCCACAAGGACATTTGGCAGAACTCACAAGATAAGGAAGAAACTCACAAAGCCAACTAATTTCAGCAACTGTGCTCAAGTCAGCTCTAAGTGGTTAGGAAGCAATTTCGTCAGAGGAGATTTTGACCACTGACTCCCAGCCCACTGACCCAAGAGACAGGCTGATCATTGGCATGGGAAGTGAGAGAACCTTGTAGCCAGTCAAATGTGGAATACTGAGCAGTAACAGAACTGTATGACTGGTAGCCAACGAACCCTGATTTCTTTGCTGGCTGAAATGTGTGGAGCTTTGATGGTGGGGGAGCCAGCCCGTTGTGGCCCACACCAGCTCCCTGCTTTGCACAAGCTAGACAAAAGAAATGGGAATACCTCGTCTTGGTGTGTAAATTGGTGTCGTACACGGGGCAGTGAGCCCACTCTCAGGACAACAGTGTCATTACTGTCTCTGCCCTTCCCAGGTACATAAGGGTCCTGGGGGTGATTGGTTGAGGGGCAGCACTCAATTCATGGAGGAGGTGCTTTGGAGCAGCTCTGTATGGGGTGCCTGAGAGAGTGGCTGCTAATGACCTAAACCCGGGGTCTCTGCCACTGGGACAAAGATGTTTCCTTGCTCCTTGCCCTTATCAAAGTGGCTGGGGGTACAGGAATAGCAAAGAAGAGTGAGTGTGGGAGAGCTGCAAGCCCCCACCAGCATCTCTTTCCCCAGCATTGCCCAGATCTTTTGCAAAAACTATGAAAACCTCATGGCACTTGATGGTATTGGTGAGTCCCTTTTCATGAGTTTTCTGAAAAATTCAGGTTGTGTCATCTTTCACTAGTCCAGCAAGATTGGCAAGGGTTGGGAGTAGTTGTTCATCATCTTCTCACCTAACTGGTAGTTTTGGCATCTGATCTGCAGAGTGCCAAGTGCAAGGCTGTGAAATATGGAAATGACTGTAATTGCTTTTTTCTTCTGCAGAGATACGTCCATGTTAAAATCAAAAGCAGATACTGCAGGTATATGGGATTGATGTCCTTTATTCCCTTGGTTGCCTGAGAGCCTAGATTATGAGGGTATCCTGAGATTATGCTTAGATGCTGTCTACTTCCACACACATCTCTTGGGAGTCATGGCTCATGTGGTTTCTTTAATTTAAAGCAATGTTGCAAAGTTGCTGCAACTGTTATATAAAACAAGCATTTAGGTTTGAATCCGAGCTGTGTCAGGGCTCCCTGAGCACTTTGCCTGCTCGGACACTGCAGGGCATATGTGCCATATGTTTATGGTGGCAGAGTGCTCTGGTGCATGGGGTCTGTTTTGGGGACCCAGCAAGTGTGAGCACAGAGGCTGTGTAGCTGTGAACTCCAAACACTCAAAGGTCATAGGTAGGGCCTCAGCTGTGGAAATAATTACTTTGCCCCTTAAATATTGATAGCATGTTTGTTTTACCTTATTATTTATGAATCTTGAGGCCATAAATGGCCTATGTTTTCATCAGCTCAGAATGGGATTTTTAGGAGTTTGGGGTTATATGCAGCCAAAAATTAATTGTACTGTGGCTCAAAATACTTAACTGCTCTGTCTTTCTCGCAGATAATCCAGTATGCCCTGAACTAGAACCAATGGCTGTACAGTTTTATTGGGATGTCTTCAAGAGGAAAACCATCTACTAAAAGCAAAAAGCATTCTTTTTTTTTTATTTTCCTTCTCTGTCAGTTGTGACTGTAGAACTATAAACATTCTGCTCACCAAATACAGTTCTCCTAAAAAGAACTCCAAAAATGTAACCTGCAAAGCAACATTTAGAGGACATAAAATGAGGAAGGAGAGGAGCTGAGTCAAAGTCTAGTAGACTTCTACTCCTAACCTGTGTCTGAAGCAGACTGTTTCTTCCCTATGGAGAGCCTTCTGAGCTTTTGTTTTCACATCTTGAGTTAGGTAGCATGAATAACCCCTAGATAAAACCACAGTCACTTTACTCATTCTACTTACATATTTTCAAAATTCACATGAGATGCTGGTTTTTCTGAAGCAGCATTCAAAACCTGTTCCAGTTATTCTCGTAGCACAAAAATAGTGCTAAATGGGCATTAAAAAACGATTTCAATAAGCACTGTGTTAGTTTTGGTAATTTTTTCATAATCTCTTTTAGATTTAATACATTCTAATTAAAATCTTTGTCTTGCAGGTCTGAGTACAGCCGTATGTCCTCTACCAGCAGTGAGTATAACTTTGAGATTCTTTTTTTAAATGGATTATTATATTTTCTTTTTTTTCTGCTTGCTAAGATTTATTAACATCAAGCTGGTGTTATTGACAGAGTTCACTTTGACACAGTAAAGCCCCCATTCCTTCTCTTCTTGGATCTATGTCTAGAAACAGTATAGAAAATTAAACTGTTTGAATATTTATGACTAAAGTACAACCATGTGTAAAGTCTTAAATATTGGCGCTCAACAAGGATGCAAAGCAAAATGAGAACAAAATCTATAGACACTGTGTGGACCCATGTGAATGGGCCCTCAGGCCAAACGAGTTTGCAGTGATGAATGTCATTAAAGCTGGGAATGCAGGAATAATTAAATGTTTATTGTAAGCTGATGCCAACAAAGCACTTCTCAGCAACTCTAGTGAAGTTGGTTTTTTATTTCAGAGATGGTAGATGCTCTAGTAAGTGCCACAGTCTTTCTAGCTATTTACAATGCCAGTTGATTTTCACGTTATCCAACTGATAAGAGACAAATTCCTGTGTCTGGATTATTTTTTCTTTATTTTTCACCAATGCAAAATGATTATTTTTTTTAAGGAACAAGGAACACTCTTTCATTCCATACTTCCTTAGTTGTAGAACACACTGTACCCGCAGCACTTGGAAATGCAATAATGCTTATGCCTGCATGACTGCTGGTATCTCTCCTTGTCCAAGTGCAAAGTGATGTCTGCCTCCCTGATTCACACATAGACATGAGCTTTATTTATGCCAAGCAAGCACATCAAAAATTCCTAGATGACAAGTTGTGTTTCATAATCTGGATCTTTAAGCACCATGAAAATCAGAGGGGAAGAAAGCTGTCAGTTGTTTTCTCATTCACACGTTCTGACTGAAGTGTGGAGAGGGTTATTTTCCATCTCCCGTGGTCTCCACTGAAGGGCTTTAATTGATTTCAACAAGAGCTGAATGAGACAGCATTCGTCATGTCTGACTCCTGAGCTGATGTGACTAGCAAGGAACTCACTCTCTTTCCTCCATCTGCTCGGGGTGTGTGTGTCTGAGAATGAGAGAATTTAGTGCAGATTTTTCCTCAGTTCTGTTGTTTAAATAGATTTCTGGATTCTCACTGTCAGGCATAATTTTTGAAATGATTGGGAGGCAAAATCCAGGCAATCAGCTTCTCTGTAATAGTGAAAGCATATTGGATTTGCCTGGTTACACCAGATGTGTGGCACACCACCTTCTCAGCTCACAATTTCAGATGATGTCTTGGGGAATATGCTGCCAAATTCCTCCACTTTTTGGGTGGTGACTCATACTTACTTGCTTAATAGAGTCAGATTAGTTCAAAAGACAAGGTGCAAGTAGAGTATTTCTCACTTAAAAGCTTGGTTTTTCAGAAAAGACTGCATGTGTTACAAATAAAGGTAGCAAATTGCATTTGTAAGCCTTGGTTTTTATTAAATGAGGTGTTTCCAGGGGGAATGAATCTTTTGTTACGTGGCAGCTGCAGTGTGTCATGTTAACCATGGTCTCCTCACTGTCTTGCTGGCCACTGCTGTCCAGTGGATGTGGTGACTGCAATTGTGTTTCACCACCAATAATTTGTCAGTACAAGGAGGTATTATCATTCCAGCAAAGACACACAAGTTCAGGAGACAGAAAAGTCTCCTTCTTTCTCTTTTCTGCTTCCAAGACAAATTATAGTGGTAGAGCTTCACAAGTAGCAGTATTTAACTTTGCCTTTTGAGGGGTTTGTGTGGTTGGTTTGGTCAGACACTGCAACAGTGACAGAAGCAGTTACATAAAAGAATTTTGGTAAAATAGAAATACTTTTGTGTCAGAGGCTGGTAACGCGTATGTAGTGCATTTTAAAGAAAGATTGTTGGAGAAGAGAGATTTTTTTAAAAAAGGTGATTTGTACCTTTTAATTTCTTTGGGGAAAAGATTCAATAAGTGGTGTCATTCAGAGTACAGAAAGCAGTCTAGTCAATGATGCTGTTAGGCCCTAGTGTAGCACAAAGTAAGGTATTGTAAATTAAGAAGGAAAGAATCTCCATTACCTGCAGCTGCTTCACCTGAAGCTCTTGTTCTAATGGAGTTTATCTAAACCAGGAGGATTACAGGCTAATTTGGTTTTACAGGGTCCTATTTGGTGGTACCAGTGAGGCTCCAGTTTTAGTGTTTAAAAAATGAATAGCCTTTTCATTTACTGAATTAACTCCACTGGACAACGATTTTCCACAGACATGCCAAGAAAAGGTTAAGAAAGACTTAGCAGGTGAATCAGCTGCAGCTTCTCTCACAGCAGCTGAGCAGACTGCAGGACTTTGTACCAATGCAAAGTTGTACAGGAATTCCAGAACCCCCCCAAGTCTGAAATAAAACTTCCTTGGCTGCTAAATGGCAGTGGCAGGATCATTCTATGTTTATTTCTGGTAGTTTTTTTCCCCTGAGCACATGGCAGCAGCTATTGTGGTCAGTGTACTGCTTCAAAGTTCAAAGCCCTGCCCAATGGATTGGTTGGACCTTGGGTTTCAGGCAGCCTCTCACTTCTTTTCTTCTTTGCCCTTGTGTCCCAGCTTCAGACAACCAAAAATGCTTTTTACTGGTAGCATTCATCTAACATTTGTGGTTTTGTACAGCAGGCAATTTGGGAAAGAGTACCAAAGTTTGCAGAACATGTGTATTTCGGCAAGAAAAGGCAGCAGGTGCCTGCTGTGCAGGCTCTGGCTGTTGTCAGGGTTACTGTGTGCCACTTTGCCTTGTCTTATTGAGTTGAGTAAAAAGGTCACGCAAACCTGTCTGCACAATAATGCACCTGGAGGTATTACAGCTTTCAAAGGTTCAGCAGTGTGATTTCAGTGAAAAGAAATGCCTTTTATTTTTATTTTTTTTACCTGAATGCTGGTGTGTGTAGTTACTTTTCCCTTTGTTCTTTAGGAGGAGGAGTGCTTTATCTTGTTGGGATATTTTGCCTATTGGTGTGCTCTTCATTAATCTAGCAAATGTATTAACCTTCTTTTTCCTCATATTTTCAATTACCTTTTCAATTATAATTTTCAGTTACCATAAGGGATCCCTAATTCTACATGAGGGAGAATTGTGCTAGGCACTTTACACTCACAGAAGGAACCTTTACCTGAAATACATAATGCGAAAATATAAAGACCATAAGTGGCATATGGATACAGACAGAATCACAAAGAAATTATTAATTAGTGTTGGTTGGCACAATAAACAACAGTCTCTGAACATCATAATTTTAATTATCTTCAGATTGCTTTGAGCTATGTGTTTCAGGGACGATTTTCAACTAGGGAAGAGGAGTTTTGATGAGGGGTGCTTATTGCCTCTTCTGCTTAATCTTTGCATTGATGATAATGGCTCTTCAGAAAGACCCAAACCAGAAATGGACGTTTTGAAACATGACTTTTGTCATTTGTAACATTCACAAAGGATGAGAGGAAATGGCCTTAAATTCCACCAGGGGAAGTTTATATTAGATATTAGATATTAGGAAAAATTTCTTCACTGAAAATGTGGTCAGGCATTGGAACAGGCTGCCCATGAAAGTGGTGGTGTCACCATCCCTGGAGCTGTGTGGATGTGGTTTAATGGTGAACAGGGTGGTGCTGGGTTAATGATTGGATTCAGTGATCTTAGAGGTATTTTCCAACCTTAATGATTCTACGATATGAAGTATTCACACCTAGTCAGCCCTGGAGCCAATATAACTAGGTTGTCTTAGAAATAATTGTGGAAGTGAGGAAATCTTTTTTTTTCCTTAACCATTTTTAGCCTGGCAGTCAGGTAACTGCCTGGATACACATTTGGTCCAGCTAAGTTGGTAAATGGTACTGGTCCAGCTAAGGTGGTATATGAAACATAAAAATGGTCCTATGGGACAAGATGCAAATTTCTGGAAGAGTCAGAGCATTTGAAATTGTAGAACCCGGTAACATGCAGTAATTCAGTGAGGTAAAGGGCTTGTCACTCACCAGCTTTGCAGTTGGAAAGCTGATAATTCACCTTCCCCTGCTCCCCTGCCTTTCCTTTAGCAGCTAGGAAACAATTGAGTCCTTGTAGGGTGTTCATATTCTTTTGTGGTAAACCTGAGAGCTGGGTATTAAAATTTTTATTTCCATGTTGCACATAGCTATGTTCCTAGCCCATGGAATTTCACTCACTTTCTGGTTCTAGAAATTGAACACAAGAAAGTTTGTTTTGGCAGATATAAAATATGTGGGTTACTGCACATGTTTCTTTTTAATAAATGCTCTGTTTGATATTCTGCTCCTATGCTGGTATAAATTCAGACCTTTGTTTGGGGATTTGGTCAAGGTTTGGTCAACATTTTGTCATTGTCATCTGCATCAGCTCGCTGGGCTTGTGACCCTGTGGGAAGCCTACACTGGAGCTCCTGCCAGAACCTGCAGAGCTTTGAAGAGAGGAGCCCACGCTGGAGCAGGTTTGCTGGCAGGGCTTGTGACCCCATGGGGGACTGGAGCCCCTTCCTGAAAACCTGCGCCCCACAGAAGGAAACCACCCTGGAGCAGTTTGGAAGGAGCTGCAGCCTGTGGGAAGGAATCGTTGGAGAAGTTCATGGAGGACTCTCTCCCATGGGAGGGACCCCACCCTGGAGCAGGGAAAGGACTCCTCTCCCTGAGAAGGAAGCAGCAGAAACAAAGTGATGAACTGACTAACCCCCAGTTCCCATCCCTATGTGCCACTGCAGGGAAAGAGGTGGAGAATTGGGAGTAAACTTAATCCCAGGGAGGAGGGACGGGTAGGGGAAGGTGTTTTTAAGATATGTTTTACTTCTCATTATCCTACTTTTATTCTGATGGGTAATAAATTCAGCTAATTTCCAAAAATCAAGTCTGTTTTGCTCATGGCAGTAGTTGGTGACTGATCTCTCCCTGTCCTTATCTCATGAACCTTTCATTAAATTTTCTCTCCCCTGCCCAGCTGAGGAGGAGAACGATCATGTGGTTTTGGTGGGCGC